TCTGGTGCGGATTGTGATAACCAAACTAATGTTTGTAAATCTGGTTCTCCTGTATTTGCTTAAAAAATTAAATAGATTAATATAAATAGGATATAGTGTTGGTAAATAATTTCAAAATTTGTGGGTGGAAAAATTTCAATTTGTTGTATCAAATGCTTTTTAACAAATAAATGTATCAATTTATTTTAAATTAATTAATTTCTGAGAAATAAATTTTTTTTGAATAATTTTTAGATTTTTGTTTGGTAACAACGTTTTTTTTAATTTAGGTTTAGAGAATCATCCATCAACGGTAAATTAAATTTTCAGAATTGATAAACGATGTGATTCTCTGTTCATCTCATGACCAAGCGTAGCAAAATAATAAAGCTCCTTTTTTATGTTAAATAAAAGGCCTATCTATCCTTTAAAAAATTCGTTTAACGAGAATCATTTGCCACGATCTTATAAATATATCGTAAATTATTAAATTTCTTGCTCAATAAAGGTTCTAAAATTTCAATAAAATAAAATTAGTTCATTAGCTTTCTAATTTTTTTTTATCCGTATTTGGGCAAGGCTAAATAAGATTTTTGATGGTTTGAAGAGGAGCTCATATACTTTAAAAATCAATTAAAAAAAATTTTTTCAATATGATGCCTAAGACGAATGGATAAACGATATTCAAAATTTTTATGATAATATAATAAATAAAATAAACAAAATAAATCTTTCTAATATCGCATAACTAATTAAGTTAACAAATTTACTAAATATATAATAGTTATATGACTACTTTTGTTACATTTGTTAAAAAATTTTTTTTGATAACATGAAAGTTAATAATTTATTATTTAAATCAGAAATTATAGACCAATTATGGAAAACATATGAGAATTACTTTCTAATCCAAATTTAGTATATGGGAGGTTTGCTAGGTAAATGGGCTCTGAAAAATTCTCAGAGCCCCACAATATTATTCTGAAATACATAATAGTATTTGGTAAAAAAAAATGTGAAAAAACTATTCCTATAAGAGCAAAAATATTAGCAATAATTATACTGTATAAAAGAATATATTGCTTTGTTCCGTCGTTTATGATGATGTAGTTAGTTGATTGGCTAGAAGCATGTATAATCACGAACGCCTAATTTAAAATTATATAGTAAAATTTTATATATAAAAAAAATATTTATAAATTTTAAAACTAATTAAGTTTTTGTGGTTTAAGTCTCTACAAGGAAGGAGCGAATTACTGATTTACAATGTATTCCCGAATTTTGATTAATGCTGTCAGCACTGATTGCCTTCCACAAATCGAATCCAGATTCTTCGCTGGCCATCTTTGAATCCTGATTGATTGTTCATTCGGTAAGCCATTTTCATGTTCAACCCAGTGCGCTATGGGGATGCTTTATAAAACGTAACATAGGTAGAGATTACATGTACAGCCCACATTGTCTAATCTTGATATTGCATACTACCAATGGAACGTATATTCTCACTACCACTTCTGCAGCGATCTGTGCTTCTCCAAAATTCAGTTGATTGCCCGACATAATTAAGGTGCTTGTCCTGTTAAATAATTGTTAAATGGACAAAAATAATAATTTGTCGAAAGATCAACATACAGACCTCTACCACAAGGACGAAAGATTTTCGCTTCATTATAGAAAATTCTGTGACTGATGAAATGCGAGTTTCATCCCCGATATATATTGCATTTTATAGGTACATCTTGATTGAGAGAATACAAATTTAGGAATAATAATAACTAGGATTTTCCCTTAAATACTAACTTAATCTTTAACGTTATGTTCATCCGTTAATTTTTACCGGTTAATTAACCGGTTAAGACATTTATCTTGTTAACCGGTTAAAGATTTTTTTTTAACGGTTAAAATAACTAAATTTTCGGGCAGAATTAAAATTTTTTTGCAATACCAAAATTTGCTAGTTTTGCCCAAATTTATAGTGCCGGCCTGAGTTAAATTTAACCGGTTAATTAACCGGATAAAGAAATTTTTAACCGGTTATTAACCGGTTAAGGATTTTTGGGCCGGTTCTCCTAGCAATGCTAAGGATATCAACCATTAACGCGTCAGTATGAGATTCGTTTATTCCTCGTGATTGTAATGAGTTTTCTATGATATCGTGCAATTTGTCAATAAATGTTTGAACGCTACCATCCGAAATTTCCACTAACGTTAGCATTCAAATCTTTTGATTTCAGCAAACGTCTGTCAGTAAACGTCTGAACTTCAACCGAAATTCTCAATGTAGTCAACAGCTTTCTCAGAAAATTTCTATATTCATACGGAAAGTTTTCGACTAGAAATTAATTTAACTTCTAAGTACTAGGTTCACTGAAAGATTAATAATACAATATAACTCGTACCTTCAACATCTGGTATAACAACGTTCATAGCTGAAACTCCTTGGAATGAAACATTCATTGCATCGATGTCTTGTGTTTTGAACCCAGATGCCGAAGAAGGAAGTTCTCTACACCATAACTAAGCTCTAGTTTCGAGTCTTGTCTAGCTATGCGATCTGACCGTCGTTTGGGTGCTGAAGATTCACTTTCACTTTCGAATTCTTTGCGTTTCTGAGAGGGTTTTCGTGTAAACGTTTTCACTTTCGACATTTATTATGGTACTTTTTGAATAACTCTCACTATCGCTATTATTGTGTATAGTTACTGTTTTTTTGAAGACATCAGAAACACGGTACAACTAAAATAAAAATATCGTGAGAAACGATTTTTATGGAGAAAATTTTTTTCGCAAGTCAGAAGGTTGATCGATTATTTGGGTATTTTCACAATTAATCATTTTGTTTGAGCAAACGACATCCTATAATCACAAAAACCGTGAACGGTTATATCAAATTTATGTTGTTGTAAGTATGATGCGACTTTTAATTGAACATCTTCATCGTCAATAATTCTAAGATATTTTCCACGATTACTATTAGTAACATCACCATATTCAATAAATACTTTAGTCCAACTTCTAACACAACAAGCAAAACATATTCTTCGATTTAATAGGTCCGCAACAATCTGACTTGCTTCTAACTTCGCATGCCCTTTGTTAAGAAGTTGTAAATAGTGTTGAACAGCTATAAGTCGCAACTTATATTCTGGAGTTAAATGTTCACTTTCAAGTTTTAGTTTATTTTCAATTCTATTAATTAATGAATTTTTTATAGTTTTAATAGCATTATCAAATTAGAACCAACCACCAGAAAAACCATCACCGGAGGAACCACCATCAAAATTATTGCCAGAAGAACCAACCCAGTATTAGTTTGATTATTTAATAGTTGGTAGAGTGTTTGCCCATTTTTCTTTTGATTTTCTATTGCTTGGATATTTTGTTGTTCATGAGTTTCCTATATTTACTAATGGACGTTTGGAATGTTTTAATACTTTCATATTTTTAGTTAAAACTAAAAAAAGCTGCTCCGCCTCATCCTTATCAGTCCATCTTCTATGCTAACTCCATCATCTGAACATCAATTTTCGCAATTTGAAGTTCTCTTTTCTTTGATATCTTTCGACACATTGTATAATGATATGATTTAAAATTTTCAGGTCAGATGTTCGATATATTTTTAGCATGGAGTTATAAGAATTATAACAGATGCGGAAATATGATATTTCTGACATATTTCAAACATATCACTAACATATTTTTTATTTTATAAGTTTCTGTAAAATACTTGTAGAAGTGATGCAACAGAAATATAAATAAATAAAAGAAGCTAAAAAGAAACAAAGTAAAAAAAATTAAACTGTGAAATTTTATGAAATATCGGCTTGATTATTAAATGATCCAATTGAAAAAAAAAATAAATCCTTTCCATTAACTTCTAAATTCGCACCTAAAAAAGGTGAGTTACTATAAACAAAAAAATATATTAAAATAAAATAAATAAATCCTAAATTTATTAAAAAAAAAAACATCGCCGCCTGAAGCAATTTGAACCTGAAAAGTAAAGAATTTAATATTCAAGAAGGAAGGAAATGCTTTTCTTTTTTTTTTTTTATCAATTATTAATAATCGAAAGCTAAAATCGGAATTCGGAATCTTAGAATCGAAACTCGAGAAATGATTAATTGATTCTAAAATTGATTCTATCTTCTTTTCCCCAGATATACATAAAAATAAGTATAGTAATATGCGCCTTTAAAATTAAAAAAAAATACTGCAAATTTGCAGAGATTATTAAACCTTTTAGGATATATGGGAGGTTTGGTTCTTAGATTTTTGACGAAAATTTAATCCTGATTGCATTTTAATTTAATATTATCAAAAATTAAAATGCAATAAAAATTAAATTTTATTAAAAAATTCTCAGTACTCCATTTTCCTAGCAAACCTCCCATATGTTTAACACATTGGTTTTCGTTCGTTCAAATGCCGAAAGTCCGTCCGTTAAATACAGTCAGTTAGATCATTGCCAGGTTCTTGTATCTGTTAAATAAGTTTTAGTAGAGGTGGGTAATACATACTTACCCTTACAAGTTTTGAAGGTGGATGCGATTATTGCACGTCTTAGTAGGCTTCATGAATGTAAGTTTTTGATAAAGGTACGGTACTATTTTTTCGTACAATACATAAGACTTACGCAAAGAGAAATGATTCTAAAATCAAATTTTCAACTGAATTATAAAAATAATAATTTGATGAAATTTACAGTCTTTGTATTTCAAACAATTATTATTATCATCTTTTGACTAATTATTTTTATGTAATAATGCTTTTTTTATTTAATTAAATTGACAAACAACCGTTGAATCACAATTACTCTAGATCTATCGTATCATAGGAAAGACATAGTAGAATCAGGTACACCGAAATTTACAGGGAGGAGGAACCTCTAGGAGCATCGCTCGGGTAGAACCGCTAGTAAACTTATATATTATAAAAATAGAATTAAATCTAATTTATATATTATTTTATTTAGCCTTTGCTTCGAATCCATCCTCGATAATTTTACTCAATTACTTTGCTCAAAATTTTTTTCTGAATAAAAGTTATATTTTTTTTTACAACGAAACTTAATATAAAAAGCTTAATATTTTAAAAGGAAGATATTCCTTTTTCACCTGGCATGAATATTCTTTTTGTGACAATACAATGAATGAAACGAAATAAAAAAAACTGTTAATTAGAAATACCAAACGCAATGTTGGATTAAACAATTTTCGCTGTTTCTCATTAGTTGTTTTCCAATATATACTGTACAAACATATTCTTTTTTTAGAAGTCTCAAGTTGAAAATTTTAGAACTTTACAGCTCGCAAGCACGTTAATTATTACGCAATAATACCGTTTATAATGAATGGAGGTTGTTCCATATATTTTAGGTTAAATTTATGAAATATGGGCATCATGGATCCGTTACCAATCATACAAATTTTTTTTTTCGAGATTACATTTTAAGCTATTAAACTAGGGAGGCCTAAAATATAATTGATTCACTGCCATCCTTTCTGTTTAAACTTATTGAATTAAAACTACTAAAAGAGAAATCTAATGGCACAAAATCCGAAAATAAAAAAATCAAAAAATCATTTTTTCGTTGCGCTTTGAACCTGGAAATTTTTAAAAGAGAAATCGCTTAAATTAAGAAATCATTTTAAGAAAAAAAAATAATATTAAATAAAAAAATCAAAATCAATTTTAAGGATCCAGCCCGAAAACAAATATATTACCCTAATGAATAAAAAAAAGAATTTATCAATTCATTTGATGCCGAAAGAAATCGACTAAAAAATCGGCTAAAAGAAATAAAAAACCAATTAATAAAAAAAATTAAAAGTCTTATCACAGCAGATCGAACGACTTTTCGTCAAGAATTCAGAAAAAAAAATTAGAATAATTAATAATCTAAAAGCTATAATTTAAAAAAAATTTTAGAAAGATCGTACATATACTGGAATTATTTATACTTTCAGCCTAAAGTTATCAAAAGCAAAAAAAATCACCTCAAATTGCATTCAGAAATGACCAAGCCTGTCAACAAATTAAAAACAACCTTATATCACGTTAACGATTCAATCCGTAAAAGGTAAGAATTATTAAAGGACACAAGATTTTTTTTTTGGAAAAGTGACGCCAAAACGGTCGCATTATCATATCTAACTAAAATTAATTTGAGAAAAAAAAAAAACTAAAGCGATAAGTATTTTTTATCTGAAAAAAAAACACTTATTCCTCTATAGGCACTTACCCCGATTTAAGAATTGAAATCCTCTGGAACCTCCTTTGATCTTAGGATTGAATGCCTCCGATAAAAATAAAAAAGTGAGCATTTAGTTATTTTTCTCAATTTAAGACTCCTCCTTTAAGAAATGGTTTCGATTTAATAATTAAAAACTTCTGCGGTTTCTAAAAAAAGGAAGCATTTGATTAATTTTTAATTTTTTTTTTAAAAAAGGGGTATATATTGTGTAAGAGTCGTTGAAAGGGTAGGAAAGCATTCGTTTTCATATCATCATATTTAATTTTAGTAAAATTAATAATTAAATTACGTTAGTATTAATAATAAATTTTTTATTTTTGTAATATTAAAATTAAAAGTATGCCGCACTTCTTTACTTTGTCCCCCGGGGAGTAATCCATAAGATTTGGTGAAAGATTTATTTATTAACTTTGTCGTCCATTTTTCTTCGTAAATAAAACTTATTTAAGAGGAACTTAATATTTTTTTTGACGACAATACTCTACTATTCAAAAAAAAAAAAAAAAAAGACGACTGTAAAATTGTTTTAAAAGTTATCCTACGAATAATAAGGAATGTCTTCAAGAAAGTCAAAAAAAGTATTGATATTTGACTCGTTACATAAAATATGTTTCTCCTCTGAAAACTATGCAAATAAGCAATAAATAGTATCCTTTTTAATACTAAACTTTTTCGAAATTTAATATTTGAATAGTTTTCAATTAGAAGAGAAATTTTGATTGACAATTTTGCTTCGAGCCTCTAAAAATTTGAGTCAAATTAGCCGCAGTACTCAAAATTTGTCCGAGGAACAAAAATTGTTTTTGTTGAAAATTAAATACAGAATGTAAATAAATCAACTATCTTTTTTATAAAAGTAAAAGTACTTTTACGAGCAGTCATTATTCGTCAAAGTGAAGTTGTTATTTTTCTCGGGTAAGACTGTAAAAATAATCAGTAGACATTATTATTCGTTAGTTATATGACGATTTATTCAAAAGTTATGCACTCTTTATAATGTTTACCAATAACGGGTGATAGTGGCTCTTTATTTACTCAAATAACGATATAAAGTGGTTATTTCATTTCAATGGCGATTTGGACAATATGTTAGGAATTCTGCCATAGATGCTTTGTTCATCATTTAAACGACTGCAGCCGTTTTCGTGAATCCCATTTTGAGATGAGATTAAACTATTTAGCTTTCAAGTTTCCATGTCAAATAAAATGAACTAATAGATAAATTGCTAGCGTAGAAATTCAAGAACTATGATTTATAATTGCTTGGTAGAATTTTTCGCATTGCAAAACAATTTTATTTTATCAGATAATGTATTTATTATTTTCTTAAACTATTAAAATTTTAGCAATAATTTTTTAGATAATTAAAGCTAAACATTTGAATTCATAACT